AAAAAAAAAAAAAGGATTAGTAATTATTACATATTTATGGATTTATTTAGTTTTTCCCATTAGCATTTTAACTAAAAATGTAGGTGGACAGAATTGGGTGTAGAGAAAATACTTAGAGCACACAGAAGAATATATGGCCATGTTTCACCTTAAACTGTGGTGTGACCATTTCATGTCTTTTACTGTAGGAAGTTAAACCGAATTTAACAGAGCGAATTCAGGACTATGACGTGTCTCTTGATAAAGCCCTGGATGAACTAATGGATGGGGACATTATTGTGTTTCAAAAGTACGTACTTTTTTGAAGGATCTTTGTAGTAATGTCAGTATTTTTTTCTTATAAGTTGTTCTAAGAAACATATCTAGACCCTGTGCCATGTTGTGTTGACGTTAGCTGCCTTCTCTAGGTTTTGGAATTAGGGATGGTGAACATTCTTACCACATAATACTCTCTAACATCCTAAAAAGGTCAGTAAGTGAACATAACTATTAGCGTGGGAAGAGTCTTTGTGGAATAACAATTGTTTTCCTTCTCCTAAAATATATGAAATTGAAACTTCTTGGATGGGCAGCGCCTGTTGCTCAAAGGAGTAAGGTACTGGCTCCATATGCCGGAGGTGGTGGGTTTAAACCCAGCCCCGGCTAAAAAGTGCAAAAAAAAAAAAAAAGAAAGAAAAAGAAACTTCTTAGAATGCTCTGTTCAGTGGATTACTTTGATAATTTATTTAAATATGCTTGTAAGCCAGCAGCTCTGTGGTCTCCTATCTCACGTAAAGCAGTAATTCCTCCAGGTCAGCGCCTGGGCTCTGCTGCCCTCAGTTCTGAGCCTGCTTGTTTGTACAGGCAGCTCCATCCCCAGTGTGTTCTGGCTTTGTAGGAGCACTGAGCTGTCAGGCAGCCAGCACTGTGTGTGGTGCAGAGCACTTCTCCTGTCCATAGTTGACTGTGTTGTTGGGCCTGCCCAGAAGGGAGGCCCGAGTTCAGATTGTGAGAGAACCTCTTGGTGTCACTGTTGGCATAAAAGATGTTGTTTTTGCTGCGTGGACATTGATTCAGTCTGCCAACCTTTTCCTCCAGGGATGACCCTGAAAATGATAACAGTGAATTACCCACCGCAAAAGAATACTTCAGAGACCTCTACCACCGTGTGGATGTCATTTTCTGTGATAAAACAATACCTAATGACCCTGGATTTGTGGTGACATTATCAAATAGAATGAATTATTTTCAGGTATTAAATGTTTGTTTTTGAAATGCTTGCTAGAAAAGCTGTGTGATGGATTTGGTATAGGAGGGCTGTGAAGGAGGTGGGCTGAGGCTGATCCTGCCATGGGAGCCGGGATAATCAGTCAGAAAATAAGAAACCTATAGGCCTCACCATTCAAAGGCAAAAATGATCTTCCCTGGTGCTATACTAAGGACGATAGTTGATTCCTGTTAAATAATAAATTTCTAGGGAATGTAAGTAATTATATATGAAGTTCATGAGCACATTTCTGTTCTTGCTCTAAATGTGAACTCCCTTTCCGTCTCCTGGTTTATCTCTGCCTGGTAGGTTGCAAAGACAGTTGCACAGAGGCTCAACACGGATCCAATGCTGCTCCAGTTCTTCAAGTCTCAAGGGTAAGTTGCACTCACAGACCCATGGCATTGGGCCGTTACCACATGCTTCCCATAGTTCATCAAACATCTTGGAGCTAATGTTAACAAACAGCCACTTCACCTGACACACCATTCATTTCTTGCTTAGCTTCAGATTAGAGTTGTCACCACTCATGTCTTGACCATATTACTCTGAGTTGTAAAAGTAATTGACAGTCTCATCTAAAGCCAGACTTACTCTAGAAACATCATCAGTGCATTTCCCATATGTCCAGGTGGGCCGGTCCCTGCTGGGTTTCTGTGTGCCATCCCAGACAGCCAGGGGAGCTTAGGGCTTGGGAAACAGGGATGTAAGGCTCAACCCTATGTCAGGTCCAAATTTCATGTTTAGGTGTAAGGCCAGTTGTTTGATTTTATGCTTAATCAAGGGTGTTTGTTTTAGGCAAATAAACAAGACACTTATTTATATGCTGTTTTCTTGTGTAGTTATAGGGATGGCCCAGGTAATCCACTTAGACATAATTATGAAGGGACTTTAAGAGATCTTCTACAGTTCTTCAAGCCTAGACAACCTAAGAAACTTTACTATCAGCAGGTATGAGTCCAAATTAATGTAACTGTGGGTGCTAAAGAGAAGGCTTGGGTTTTTGTGGAAATTTAGCTAAAGTTAATCTTATCTTTTCTTAATAGCTTAAGATGAAAATCACAGACTTTGAGAACAGACGGAGTTTTAAATGTATATGGTTAAACAGCCAATTTAGGGAAGAGGTAAGTTTTCTTTAAAATAACTGTGAGTATTGCTTGCTATTCCTGTATATCCTTACGTCTTATTCTAAAATAACAAAAGAAAAACACATTTTAAATGACAGCAGGTATTAGATGTCCCCTGGCCTTCAGTCTTCCCCCTTCCTCCCTGGTACAACTCTCTGAGGCCTTTTAGGGTGAATGGAAGTGTTGATGCTTTTAGGCATTGCTCCTTAGCCCAGGGGCAGTATCCTTCTCAAACTGTGAGACTATGGGGGAATGGGCCTGGTAGGCCTCTGATCAGACCCCACACTGACTCTGTGCACACACTGCTGGTACAGGCTGCTTGCTTGGTGTCACGTGCTTGCTCCAGATGGAAGACGTGCACACTCATACCTTTAGGCGGTTCCTCTAGAAAGTCTGTGCCCAGTTTGTTGCCAAGTCATTCAAACCAGTGTTGAAGGTTTGAGACATGATTGGCCTCTCCTGTGTAGAGTTGGTCAGGCTGCAGCCCACAGAGTGTGTCAGTCTGTTATCTGGACCAGCTTGGCTTTCTCTCTGCACTGAGAAACAGGAAGGCTCTTAGAAGGCCCTTCGGGGGATCATGGCCTGAGAAGCTGTTCTACAAATGGCAAGATTTGCACATGCAGTGTTTGTCTGTAGAAATCAGTCTTTGCATCCTGACTTGCCAATCCTGGGTCGCTCCTAGGTTAGCCTGCCCTGAGTGAACTCGCAACTGAGAGACCAGCAGGTGGGGACATACATGTGGGCATGGAGGACCAGTTGGAGACAATTGAGAATAACTGCTGCAGCTTTTCCTACTTCCAGTTTTTATTGCAGGCCTTTGGTTTTCTTTAAAGTGCTTATTTCATCTACCTATTATTTAGGAAATAACACTATATCCAGACAAGCACGGGTGTGTCCGGGACCTGTTAGAAGAATGTAAAAAGGCCGTAGAGCTCGGGGAGAAAGCATCAGGGAAACTTAGGCAAGTATTTCTGGAGCCCAAAGGTAGGAACGATCCCTCCACCCACCACACTGCCCTCACATTGATGGGAATGAGCACAGCCAGGGTATGTCCCAGCCACACCTGGAGAGAAGCCAGTCTTTTGGAGAGGCACTTTCCAGTGAAGGCATTCTCCTTCCCCTTAATCTCCTAATAATACTAGCTATAGAAAAAAGGTGAGATTCAGGCAGAAAAGCCAAGTGGAGGAAGAATATGAATCAAATTGATCAACTGAAGCTGGAAGAGGTGTCCCTTGATTACGTGGGAAATTGGGTCATTGGATCTGGTCAGCCATTTTGCAGGCCTAGAAAGGAGCCCCTGATTTATGTTGAGTGTTTATTTCAAGAGCTTGGTGCTCTTGTGACCTTGCCTTCAAGTCAGTATGGAGGACATTCTTAGTGCTTTATGGTTTCCA